ATTCGATGGAAATTCAATCGTTGTATAAGTTCGATAGGAAAATATGGTGCAAGTGAGAGAATTTAATTTGAAAATATCGTTTTTCAAAATTTCCAAACGGTGTGTAGTAACGATTTTTAAAAAAATTCGTACGATTTAAGAAAAAAAAAAAAAAATAAACAAATAAACTTACACCTCCACCGTAGAAAACTTTTTCCAAAACTTTTTCTTTCTTAAATAGCACGAAACATTCCGTCTTAGTCGTACAGCGACCTACTTGAAAGACAGCCCGAAGGTATATAGTCTCTTATCGGGGACTATTGCATTTAAATCCACCATCTCCTTCTTTAAATAAAATCCTTTCTATTTCACATTATTCACATTAACGTCTCTTTTTATCACCAAAAAAGAAGGCAAAAAAGTACGCTCACGTCACAATCCCATTCCATCTCAATATCCCTTAATTACTTAATCTACGTCAAAGGACGTATTCAAGGAAATGCCAATTACCATTCCAGTGGAGTCCAATTGGTCGTCCAACAATTTTTCGCAATTCACCTCGTCTCTCTCTCTCTCACCCATCTCCTCCTCCCTCCCCCCACTACGAACGATCACACGCGATCATCCCCCATTTCCAGGAAGAACATCTTGCCTCGATGGAATTATCGGTTTTCGAGATTCAGGGCGCGATACAGGGGGGAGGGCGCGAATTTACGAGCGGTGCGGTTGATTTATTCGCTGGCAAATTGCGTCGATAACGCGGCCGTGTTGCATCGACGACCACCAATCGGGACCAAGATCTCTCGTTAGCGAGCATCCTTTCAATTACCGCATTTACCTTAGGCGGCGCAACATTATCGGCTGTCGCGACTGATGGAGAGGTGAAAAGGGCCGCGACTATTTCTTTCCTCTCTGAGCGCGGATATATCCTTGTTCCCGATGCATTTTCGCCCGTGTAATTTATAACTTTATAGTAACAGAGCCACGAGTGATTAATGATCTCCCCACGAGGGAGGGAGGGATAT